GGCGTTATCTCGTTCATCTGCTCCCTGGGTCCTGGAGGAGGAAGGGGGCGATAAGGATGCTGCGGGAGAGAGGGTCCGGGAGATGGCGCTGATGCTTCCTTCTCTGGGCCATTTTTTGCGTTTTCTAGAGATTGCTGTTTCAGGCTATGAGTTCCCGATGTTGTGGATGCGGTTTCGGGGAAATTTATTGTTCGTTCTGTTTCATGAATATGTTTATATAAAACCTTACCTGACATCCGAAAACCCGACAGCCCGGAAACCCGACAGCCCGAAAACCTGACAGCCCGAAAACCTGACAGCCCGGAAACCCAATAGCCCGAAAACCCGATATCCCAAAACCCTAAAATCCCGACAGCCCGGAAACCCGACAGCCCGAAAACCCGAAATCCAAAAAAAAATCCCCGAAACCCGAAAACCCGAACCCTAAAACCCAAAACCCTAAAATCCCCAAAACCCTAAAATCCCCGACAGCCCAAAAACCCGAAAACCCGAAATCCCAAAACCCTAAAATCCCCGACAACCCGAAAACCCGGAAACCCTAAAATCCCAAAACCCTAAAATCCCCAAAACCCTAAAATCCCCGACAGCCCAAAAACCCGAAAACCCGAAAATCCCAAAACCCTAAAATCCCCAACATCCCAGAAAACCCGACAACCCAAAAACCCGAAAACCCTAAAATCCCAAAACCCTAAAAAAAAAAAAAAACCTAAAATCCCCAAAACCCTAAAATCCCCGACAGCCCAAAAACCCGAAAACCCTAAAATCCCAAAACCCTAAAATCCCCAACAGCCCGGAAAACCCGACAACCCAAAAACCCGAAAACCCTAAAATCCCAAAACCCTAAAATCCCCAAAACCCAATCCCAACATCCAGAAAACCCGACATCCAAAACCCGACAACCCAAAAACCCGAAAACCCTAAAACCCCCAAAACCCTAAAATCCCCTTCATCCCCGTGACCGACCGAAGTGGCATCGCGTGGCGGGGGCGGAGCGAAGGAACTCCATGCAGGTCTGGCCGAAGGCGCCGTAGAAGGGATCGTCGGCGAGGAGGTCGATGGGGGCGCACTCGGGGTGGACCAGGGACGCGTCTCCACCTAGGGCCTCGGGGCAGCACGCGATGGCGCCGCCGTAGGGTGCTGGGGGGTGGAGGAGGTGGGTTAGGGGGAGGGGGTGCGGGGGTGGAGGAGGTGGGTTAGGGGGAGGGGTGGTAGAGGTGGAGTGGATAGATGGAGGAGGTGTGGATTAGGGGGAGGAGGTGGTAGAGGTGGATAGATGGAGGAGGTGGATAGATGAAGGAGGTGTGGATTAGGGGGAGGGTGGTAGAGATGGATTAGGTGAAGGAGGTGGATAGATGGAGGAGGTGGATAGATGAAGGAGGTGTGGATTAGGGGGAGGGGTGGTAGAGGTGGATAGATGGAGGAGGTGGAAGAGGAGGTGTGGATTAGGGGGAGGAGGTGGATTGGAAGGAGGGGGAGGAGGTGGATAGATGGAGGTGGATAGAGAAGAGGTGGATAGATGAAGGAGGTGTGGATTAGGAGGTGGAGGTGTTGGATATGGGTTGGTAGGTGGATAGATGAGGAGGTGGATAGATGAAGGAGGAGGTGGATTAGGGGAGGGGGTAGAGGTGGATAGTGGAGGAGGTGGATGAGGTGGAGGTGGATAGATAGAGGACGTGGATAGATGATAGATAGAGGTGGTGGATTAGGTGGAGGTGGATAGATGGAGGAGATGGATACGTGGATAGATAGAGGTGGTGGATTAGGTGGAGGTGGATAGATGGAGGAGGTGGATAAGTGGATAGATGGAGGAGGTGGATAAGTGGATAGATGGAGGAGATGGATAAGTGGATAGATGGACGAGATGGATAAGTGGATAGATGGACGAGATGGATAAGTGGATAGATGGACGAGATGGATAAGTGGATGGATTGGATGGATAGATGGACGAGAGTGGATAAGTGGATAGATAGATGGAGAGATGGATAAGTGGATAGATGGAGGAGGTGGATAAGTGGGTAGATGGAGGAGATGGATAAGTGGATAGATAGAGGTGGTGGATTAGGTGGAGGTGGATAGATGGAGGAGGTGGATAAGTGGATAGATAGAGGAGATGGGGGATAGATAGTGGATAAGTATAGATGGAGGAGGTGGATAAGTGGATAGATGGGATGGATAAGTGGATAGATGGAGGAGTGGATAAGTGGATAGATGGAGGTGGATAAGTGGATAGATGGAGGAGATGGATAAGTGGATAGATGGAGGAGGTGGATAAGTGGATAGGTGGAGGAGATGGATAAGTGGATAGATGGAGGAGGTGGATAAGTGGATAGATGGAGGAGGTGGATAAGTGGATAGATGGAGGAGATGGATAAGTGGATAGATGGACGAGGTGGATAAGTGGATAGGTGGAGGTGGATTAGGTGTGTCCAGCGTTAGTTGATGAGAGGAATGTTATATGTTTCATAACTTTCCTGTTCTTTTGCGTCAAATTTGTCAAAATCACAATTTATATTTCGTTTTTTTTTTGTGTGTGTGTGTGATTTTATAAAACATGAAATATATGTCAAAAAACACGAAACAACCAAGTAAATTACTTTACACGATTAAAATGATAATAATAATAATGATAATGGTAATAATAACAATAATAATGATAATAATAATAATAACAATAATGATTATAATAAATATCTTTACTCAACTCAATCCTTAATCAATCTTATTACGAATCAAACCCACTCCAACATCGACTCCTTCACCCCCACCCCCACCCCCCCCCACCCCACCCCCCACCCACCCTCGTACCTGGAACCAAGGGCGTGAGACGAGGTCGTGGTCGAGGAACTGCCCGAAGCTCAAGTGGAGGTAAGAGAAGGAGGTCGAGGGCGGCCCTGGGCGGCTACTGACGGCGAGGCTGACGAGGCGGGCGTTCGGGAGGGCGTCGCCGGCAGTCGCCTTCCGGAGGCTGGACACGCCTGCAGGAGAGGGGCGTGGATTTCATGTTTTTTTTCTTGATCTACTTTTTTGTATTTTTTATTTATTATTTATTTTATTTTTTATTTTCTGTTTCTTAATTCTTCATTTATTTTATTTTTATCTTTTATCTTTCCTTATTTCATCTATTTATCTTATTTTATTTTATCTTTTATCTTTCCTTATTTTATTTATTTATTCTATTTTACCTTTTATCTTTTTTTTTTTTTTTTTTTTTTTTTTTTTTTTTTTTTTTTTTTTTTGACGCGTAAGTAGAATTATACGTAACCTGGTACCTTCGATTTTTTTTTTTTTTTTTTTTTTTTTGACACGTAATGATTCCTCTGAAAGAGAACACTCGCATTCCCAAAAGGACCACGAACACAGAACCAAAAAAAAAAAAGAAAAAAAAAATCACACCCAAAAACAGAGAAAAAAAAAAACAAAAAACAAAAACAAAACCACGTAGGCTCCCTCACCATCCCCGTAGTCCTGCCCAGCGAACCGTCTGTGGGGCGTGAAGGTGGCGCCCCAAGTCGGGTTCTTCAGGTTATTGCAGGTCCCGTCGGCGGAGCGGTAGCGGGAGAACCTGTCGCAGTTCCGAGGTCCTGCTCGAACGGCGTCGCACTGTTCCTTGACGAGTTCTCCCGAGTGTTCCAACTCGAGGATCGCGTTCTTGTCCGTGATGTTCAATCTGCGGTTGTGGGTTGCTTGGGAGATGGCTTTGTGAGTGTGAGGGCGGTGGGTAGTTGTGAATATCAGTATGGATTTGGGTATGTATAAGGGCGATGGATAGTTGTGAATATCAGTATGGATTTGGGTATGTATAAGGGCGGTGGGTAGTTGTGAATATTAGTTTTAATTTGCATATATAAGGGCGATGGATAGTTGTGAATATCAGTATGAATTTGTGAATATTAGTATGATTTGTGAATGTAAGGGCGGTGGATAGTTGTGAATATTAGTTTGAATTTGTGAATATTAGTTTGAATGTGTGAATATTAGTATGAATTTGTTAATATTAGTATGAATTTGTGAATATTAGTATCAATTTGTGAATATTAGTATGATTTGTGAATGTAAGGGCGATGAATATTTGTGAATATTAGTTTGAATTTGTTAATATAAGGGCGATGGATAGTTGTGATTATTGGTAGGAATATGTGGACATTAGTATGAATCTGTGAATATTAGCATGAATTTGTGAATGTGAGGGCGGTGGATAGTTGTGAATATCAGTATGGATTTGGGTATATATAAGGGCGATGGATAGTTGTGAATATCAGTATGAATTTGTGAATAATTAGTATGATTTGTGAATGTGAGGGCGGTGGATAGTTGTGATTATTGTAGAATATGTGGATATTAAGTATGAATTGTGCTGAATAGTATGATTTGTGAATGTAAGGGCGTTGGATAGTTGTGAATATTAGTTTGAATTTGTGAATGTGAGGGCGGTGGATAGTTGTGAATATTAGTATGAATTTGTGAATATTAGTTTGAATGTGTGAATATTAGTATGAATTTGTTAATATTAGTATGAATTTGTGAATATTAGTATCAATTTGTGAATATTAGTATCAATTTGTGAATATTAGTATCAATTTGTGAATATTAGTATGATTTGTGAATGTAAGGGCGATGAATATTTGTGGTAATTATTAGTTTGAGTGTAGAGGTGGAGTGATTATTTGTGATTATTGGTAAGGATATGTGGATATTAGTATGAATTTGTGAGTATTATAGTATGATTTGTGGAAATGTGAGGGCGGTGGAAAAATAGTTGAGTGATTATTAGTAGATGAATTTGCGAATATTAGTATGAACTTTGGGAATAATTAGTATGATTTGTGGATATTAGTATGAACTTTGGGAATATTAGTATGAATTTGTGAATATCATGAATCTGTGAATATTTGTATGAACTTTGTGAATATTAGTATGACTTTGTGAATGATTCAGCTATGAATGTGAAATGTAGATTCCATGAACTTTGTGAATATTACAGTATGAACTGTTGTGAATAAATTAGTATGAACTTTGGTGAATATCCCAGTTTTAACTTTGTTGAATATTAGTATGGAATTTTATAGGTGAAAGATATGGCATGAGTGATTTGTTATCGAGCGAGATAATGATTTAATAGGAAGTACGATAAGAAGTGAGGAACTGAGAGTTATTCCGATATCTGAAAGGCGAGCAAATAGAACAATGATGCCACGCGCGCCCGACCGCCCGCAAAGAAAAAGGAGAAGGCAAGATGATTAAAAGACAAAGAGTCAAACCAGACTATAGTCCTCGATAAAATAAAAAAAAAAAAAAACCAGAATAGACAGCTACGCCAGTACCGCGTCTCCTTCAGGAAAACATTCGTGGCCATATCCCATCTCATAACCCCTTCCTGGAATACTCAACGACTCGGGACTCGGCTCCTGAACCTCTTCTGGTGCCAGTAAGCCGCCGAGTCCTTCTCGACCTGAAGCTTCCTCGCGTAAAGGTGTTCCTCGAGGCGGTCCTTCTCCATCCCTCGAGACCGAAGCCC